GTATTTGCTTAGTATTATGCTGTTTTAAGGAATATCCAAGATCATTACAAATAACTATAATATCGTTAAGTAGAGTTGTATCTCTAAACATAAAAAGATTATTTAACACTTTATACTATTATCTCAATATTGTTATTAAGCTTAAAATAATTTAATAAATAATTGATTTGTATTCCTAAGTAGCCACACAATATTTTAGTTTTCTTACTTTTTAATATGACCCCACGAAGAATATATGTCGTAAGCCAGATTAACTAAAAGGACCATTAGCCCGGTTTCTTTGGCCAACATTGATAACGCTCCAAATGTACAGCTAAGCAACACCCGTTCTCTGCGTTTCCATCGAGCACTGTGATAAAAATAAAATAAATTGTAAGACACAAATAATAAAAAAAATACATCTAGTATAATAGATTTGTTTGATTTAAGTAATAAAAAGTGATAAATGCGAAAAATAACATAATTAATAGTTACAAACATTGTGAGCAATGCAATCTACATGTTCGTCGTCACTTGTTATGAGTAAAAATAGAATTCATTTTAAAATTTATTTTGCAATATAATTGAAAATTATAGTTTCGGAAAATTTAAACTAAAAATTAAAGAAATATAAATGAGATTAATAAATTATTAAGAATATGACATTTTTGGCCAAAAAAAAAAAAATAAAATAAAAAAATACACTGAAAAATAATATTTATTTTATAATATTAAGTGATTTTTAGATAATGTTGTGTGAAAATAAAATAATTGATTTAGTTGAATTCTATMATTGTATAATAAATAGACATTAAATTATATTTTATTTATTTAATACTTCTGTTACATTGCCTCTGGAACATTTTTCAAAATATAGCTACCTCTTTAATTAAATCAAATACGAACAAAAGTAGAGGTTATTATCCCTTGCCTATGATAATTATTAAATGCTTGCTACAAATWAAAATATTATTTTCGGAGATAACAGTTATTTACTATTATCCCGTTTTCAAGCTTTTAACATTGYGGTTTTTACTGAATACAAACTAAAAATTCAACGAGTTATTCTCTTGAAAATATTAAAAGTAAGTGATTATAGDATATTATGTAAAATCACAGGGTAATTATCTCCCTTGGTGTCTACTTTTTTAAACTCATTTTTTCACAGACCTGATGTAAAAAACTTACAGATGTATCAAGCATGTAAATAAAACATGTATTTTATGAATAATTATAAGACTATCAACTTTCAGTCGTGGTTATTTTAACACAAAAAATTTAAAATTAAAAAACTAAATTATTAATATTCATAACTTAAGCATTTTTTGTAGATTTTAACATTGTATTGTCCAATTCAAGAGAAAGAGTGATATTGAATTATTTATTTTGGTTTGAAATAGTATTAATTAGATATAAATTTGATAACATTATAAGTACAATTTAATTTACAAAATTCAAAATTTAAAAATGCACAACCTATACCGATATCAATTTTATAAGTTAAATAACACAGTGATTTATGCTTATCGATTTATTTTCACCCTCGACGATTTTCAACCGAAACTATAATAAATCAAAAGGGTTAAATGTTGACATAAATTTCCACCAGGCAGATTCTAAGACAGCATTTCAACACAGTGTAAGTTCATAATATAATAACTGGTTGTGAATAATCATGATCAATACCCAKTCCTTTCTTCAATCAAATATTTCTCTTTAATAAAATTGAATATGAGTAGCTAAATTTAAAGTTCTATATTTACTTTATGTTCATAGAAATTGTATATTAACTGAAAATCCGTATATAAACATAATGACAGCAATGTTAGTTGAGATGAACAATCAAAATATAAACCATTTTTGCGTTTTACCAAGGTGTCATATTTTATGAATTTTTGTAGGTTAATTACGCGTAATTTTGTATGAAATATTTCATATATTTTTTTTAAATTAAATAGAAAAATACCAAAAAATTAGTTAAATTCTGTTATTGGTCCGCTAATTTCGGTCCTAATCGATGTCTTACAAAAAGTTTATTTCCATATTTAATATTTCACTTATTATCCAACAATTATTCAAATTATATAGATTACATATCATATTTATATACATATTTTGTGATTGTACTACGTCCTATCTAAACTTTTTATGTTATACCTGCTATCACGAAACCTATTTATAAGTTTTTATTTGTATATCGTATTTAATTTTTGAGCTCTAATAGTCTAATAAAAATTAAAGCTATATATATATACAATATATATATATATATATATATATATAATACATATATATATGAGAAGAAAGAACAAAAAGAAGTAAAAATTATGCTAATCTCAATGGGAAATAACAGTTTTAAAATTCTGCAAATCCTGTTTTATTAGAAACCGAAAAGAAAAGCACAGGAAGACTGTTCCAGATGGTGATAAATTGCAATAACACTGTTAAAGAAATTTTTGGTGATCATTGTCATTCTATACGATACCAACTTCAAAAGTTGAACGTCAGGTATTACAAGGAAGTTATGAGGGACAGCTTTGGGATCAGTTTCGATCAGACCAATAAAAATTTTTCAAACACAACGCATGAAARGCATTAACATTTCAGATTTTTTTTTWAATAAATATTTCAAATGTATTCAAAAAATAATTAACTATGAAAAAAAAATATAGTTGTCCAATTCAAAGACCTTTATTAAGGTTTTTATTGAACTTAAATAAAAAAAAAAAAATATGAAGTTATGAAATATAATGGTTAATAAATTATTTATTTACACAACGAAATGCATTTAATATGTAACGACTAGATAAAATCCAAATTGTGTAATGTATTCTACATTTTTTTTTTTTTTTTT